CAAAACTCAACTTTAATAGTGAGGATCACACGAGAAGTGAATCCTGTAGTTCGAGCGAGAGGCTCTGACCAGTAATGAAGCTAAACCACGTCCAATATGATGTAGTTACCTACCAATAGGTAAATGAAATTTGAAATGTAATTTGCTAAATACCAACTAAGTGTGGTTTTAAATTGAAGCGATTATATGGAGTTAGCTTGAACCCCCCCCCTAATGGAGGACTAGTCGATCCCATACAAAGATAAAATAGCTCTCTTTTGCTTCATGGTTTAGAACAGTCAGATTCAATATTCAATTAAATAAACAACAACATTATTATGCATAATATTTGTGATATTTTCAAACAGTTTGACACCAGCATGTATACATTCTTAGAATTAGTTCTAGTTAGTTTAAAAGAAAAAAATCATTCTTTTTACAAGTGGTCTATCAGTATCTATCACTTGATACTTGAATCAAATGAGAAAGTGTTCGAATCAGTACTCTATTTGAACTAGTGAATAAAATTCAAACTTTTACAAAGCAATTAACAATTATTTTGAAAAAATTTTCATTATTTAACATCTAAAAAAACATTTACACATTTAGGCTAATAGTAGAGAATGTGTTTTTAAAAAGTGGAAATGCTAATTTTAACAAGATCACAATACCTACACTCAATTCCTACATTCACTCTTCTATTCGATAAGATGAACATGTCAACAGACTGCATCATCATCATCATCATTCATCTACACATCAGAATCAAGTGGTTTATGTGATTCAATGTGTTTGTGTGTGTATGGGCGCGCACACAATTTCAAGGTATTCCAACTAGAGAATTAGTTGATCATATGATCATTTCAACTTGAAGTACCATTACGTCATCATTCGTTTTTTATTTAAAATTGATCAAAAATAACTTTCTCGAAGAACACAAAAATGTAAAGTTTGTCTTATGATAAACATTTCCTTACAATAATAATCCGTTGAATTGAAGTAGTGCCGATTATTTGAAGAAAGTTAAATAAGACCTAATTTTTGTGACATCTTTGTTAGTTTAAATCTCCCTATAAGAAATTGAAATTAATATGACATCATACAATCAAGTTGTATTTTTACTAACTCACCAACTTAATATATATATATAACTCTTAGGTTCTTCGATATGTATGATCAGTGGGTAAACCCAATGAACCATATTTTAATTTGAATGCTGACATTGTTGATATGAACAAATGTAAGTAATCTCCTATTGTATGCTGTAAGTGAATTCTAAAATGACCATTGGATGTGATATAAACTATCATTTTTAACATTCGGCTATAGGTGCATACAGTTGTGATGGCATAGAAATAGAATGAAATTAGTTCATTTCACGGCCAAGCTATTGTTAAAAATTTTTTATATAAAGACATTTAATATAATTATTATGATTATTTTATAACGGTTAGGGCGTCCGCACACAATACCGAAGGTCCTTGGTTCGAATCCTGCGGGGTGCAGGAGTCGTGGATGCGCACTGCTGATGAGTCCCTTACCAGGACGAAACGGCCGTCCAGTGCTTCCAGGTTTCTAATGGTGTTCTAAAATTGATCGATTCATGGTTACAAATAAAATTCTTATACTTTAGATACTAAACACTTATATTCACACATAGCGTTATGCATTTAAACAAGTTTTGCACTCAATATACAATATGATAATAACAGTAAATAAGTGTAATATAAGGAAGATATGTTCAACTGTCAATTCACTCTATATTGTTCAATTATAATAATCACCATTGATTTTACTCCTTATTACAATTTCACAATGTGAATAACATTTAAACACAATTTTCTCTTTTCCAAAATTATCATCAATGATATTCATTAGTTAGATAATCTTTTAATATAAAACACTGATGACTTTAATAATATGTTAGTTGAATATTGATCAATTCGTGAATTGAATGAATGACCACCAAACTTCGACATTAATGACGTTCAATGAAACAAACTTTTATCCCCTTGTGTGATGCCTACTAACACTAACATTTCTAAGCAGATAACATTCATTTCATTGTTAGCTAGAGAATTGAACAATTGACCACTCAGATTTATAATCAATAAATATTTTACTGAACAAAATGAATATTATGCTGAATCAAGTCGAAAGTAAATTAAACAGAGATTGCACTACATTTAAAAAAACAAATCATATATATATATTTCAGTGCATAATATTAAACTTTAATTTCGTAATGATTTTATCGGCATGCTTTTAGATAAAACACATTCATAATCTAACTTTTCAGGAGTTGAAATTTTACCACAAGATTTGCTTGTTCACCTGGAATATGCCAATGACATAGTTCTGTTTGGTGAAGTAATAAAATACAGTTATCTGACCACCCTGAGCAACAATGGTATCATGTTCGGCATGCGATTTTTTTCCGTCGAAATGCAAAATGTTGCTTCAAGATTGCCTTGAATCGGCACTTATCTCGGGAATTTCATCAGTACTGGTGGACTGATGTTTGACGAAATCTCAGCACGGAATCAGAAGGCTCGATTGGCTTTTGTCAACTTGCGTCACCAATTGCGTAGGCGAGAAATCCGTCTACTAACAAAAGGAGTGTGCCGTGCAGCAGTTCGCTCCGTCCTACTATATGTCTGTGAAAGATGGTCAGTCCGAGTAGAAGATTTTCATAGGTTTCTGGATTTCGATCATAGGTATCTCAGAAGCAATGCTCGTGTATCCTGGGACAACCGAGTAAGCAATGCAATTGTTAGAAAACAAGTAGTAGCTAGGGATGGCAAATCGATAGATGGAGTATTGTGAAACTTCATTAGTTGAGGAAGTTGTGACATGTGCCCAAACAACGACTACCCTAACCAGCCTATGTTGTCTGATGTAGGCGTAGGCTAAGACATACCTAGAAACGGTCAAGTGAAAGCATGGCAGAAATGCATGAAATCACTGACAAGTTGAATGAGTCATGTCGGTAGGTGTCCAATACCTGATTGGGGCAGGCGAGATTATAGTAATCGATGGCTAGAGATACAGAATGACGGCTTAAAGTCGTTTGCAATGACGCTGGTGCATTTATTCTTAAGGTTATCCTCTGGATTCGTCATCACCTTCATCTTTGTAAGTTTATTTCACTAGACTATACTTGTTGAATAATATCGTCGAACACTAATGTCTCCGATTACTGCTAATACTTCTACTTGTGTCTTTGAACTAACGTAGATTGGCAACTTGAAATGATGTACGTACGTACAAAGTTCTGTTTCAATCGACTGACTGACTGATTTATGGATTTGACAATTAATTACAGTCTATCATTTTCAAGTATATGAAATCTGACTATAAACATCCCTAACGCCGGAAATTGTTACTCACAGTTTATGATCAAACTGAAATATAAATAGTTTCTAATAACAGTCGTATTATGCTACATACTTAGCAAACAGTATCTATCTGGAATTTCCATTGAAATATCAGGCAATTTTGCAATAAAATAAAAAAAGGTTGTCATAGACCGACTTAGGCAATGGAACAATGACAAGAGATGCAGTTTCATGCTAGCCAGTGACCTCACGATCTCAACAGGCCCAGCAAGATCCCCCAAAGTTGTTTGTTTAGACACTTTGTTGGCATTTTATCATAAACATGGTTCTGCCAGACCACAGGGTTACTAAAAATATCGGGTATTTTGAATCCCCTTTGTTCTCACTGAAATTTCTTGCTAACAGACTATTTTAATGAAATATTGTGTCACCTATTCAAGTAATAATGAATATTGATCAATATGTCCGCACAGAAAGATTTTTGTAAACATATGACATAATTTAAACAAATACATACTACTTATTTTGCATGTACTTGAAGGTAACACGTATTCAGATTAGTTTGATTAACGACGTACAAAATATTTTGCCAGAGAATGTCAGTTACATTTTTCTCATAATCTACATTGTTCGTATTGATCACGGTAGTTTAAATGCTGACCTCATGAAGACTGACATCAATTGGGTTCAACTGACAGTATAGTAGAAATTAAATTTTTTAACAATAAACATAGATTAACTGGTTTATTAAACACAAAAACAATCGCATTGATTTGAACTAATCAAGAAGACAAACTTATCCTCATAATTGATTTTAACAAAAGAATAAAATTTATTCAGGCATGAAATTAAGATTTCACTAGAGCACAGTAACGAGTTTATTATTATGAGCTTTGATGTTTTGTCACATGATGAGAGAGATTATGATGTCGTCACGCAAATATATATATATATTTACATGTAAGAAAGACTGGGGATTATCCAAGTTATCATAGTATATTTTACTCAAAACAATTTGTGTACTGAATATCGGTCATATAAGGGCAAAATACCAATTTTCATGAGGTCAATTTTCTAGTGAACTGTTTAAGCAATAACAACAAATCAGATTAAGAATAGCTTGCTGATATTATTTACAGCAGTTCTAAATGAGTACTAATCACTTTCACAATCCTGTCATGTTAGCTATCTATCTATTGACTACTCTTTCCATGCAAACTCTTTGCCAATTAACTTCCTAAACCGCTAATCGATTTTCAATGGATAGTTATGATGAGAGAATTAATACAAGCTACAACATGCATCGATAACTTATTGACCTTTTGGAAAGCTAATAGTCACAATCATAACAGAGCATTCAGAGATTTGTTCAACAAACTTTTTTGGCAAACAACAACATTGTACTAATTACCTATCATGTTAGTGGTTGTTCTCCCTAAAAACAGTCAAATATCACAATACTCGAGTGAATCTGTAAAATTAACCAAGACAAATCGGTTTCTTTTTCAAAATAATTGAACAACATCACCTAACAGTGGGATTAATGAAGATGTTTATGCTCTGAAGTCTGACACATTGACACGCTTTGTATATTTTTGTATCGGATCAACAACACGCCGATATTACCAACTTAGATATGACCAAAAAAAAGAATGTTTCCTCTCCGCATGTATATAAAAATAAAAACTGTAGTTTTATTACAAAATAATATGACATAAAATATTTATATATATATATATATATATATATATATAATATCTGTATCAAAATAGGAGTACAAATTGAATGTTAGAATACATCATATTGTTTTATTTTAATTAAAAGTATATATCTCTATATATAAATATGTATATCTCACATGAAAATGCATAGACAAATCACAAGTGTACACAGGGAGCATAAAAAAAGCCTTGAACCAAAAAAGGCGAACAAATAAAAACAACAATAAAAATAAAAGTATTATATGAATGAACTTTAACGGGTGTTCAGATGATTATGATTATGATGATTATGAGTAGTATTATTATTATTATTATCGTTATGATTATTTTCAAGGTAAACGACTGTGTATACATCAATCTCACAAACAATGACATACACATAGATAGACAGACACACAGATAGACAGGTAAACAGATAGAAGTAGCATCAATTAAAAGATTAAAAAAAAATCAGTACAAAATGCGCATACATATTGATCTGGTGACAGGTACTGACACCAACAGAAACAGGTCTATACACCCTGGAAAAGTGTACTGGAAGACATTTACTACACATGGGCATAGTCACGATAATAATACTGATATAAAAAAAAAGTAATAAAGATTGCAAGAACACATCAACGAAAAAATAGTTTGTCCATGTTTTTTTCTCGGTCACAAATCTATTTAAAATAAATATTAATTATCTTGAAAATATGCAAAATGTCTCGAAGAATATAAAAACAAAAAAAGAAACTTTTTTGATAAAAAGTAAAACCTTGGCAAGAATAAGACAATATTAAATAAGCTAAAGCATTAGATAGTCACTCGCCTCATACTTGAGCTCAATGTAATAGCATCCATATAACTGTTATGACTGCTTATACTACTGTCATCTTGAATGTATTGATCTATAGTCCAGGAACTAGTGGCAGTTCTTTTGATGGTATGATTATTATCATGCATCAAAGTGGTGCTCTGAGACGATGGTAAGGATGTCGGTGTGGAATGTAGAAAATAACAGTTTCGACCAAATGGACAATTGCCACTATTAGCATAATTCATGCATACTCTTGTACGATATTTTGGATGAAATTGTGGATATTTCAATTCATCTGGACCATGTGCAAAATGACAATTGTCACCAAGAGGACAATGTTTATATTTTTGATAATGTAAACATGGTTGAGTTTTATATCTGGCATTGTATATTGCATCTTGTTTACGTGGTATTGGATAGCGCATATGTACTTGCATTGGTCTATGTGTATTGGTTGTGATATTGAGATTACTCGGTGAAGTGACTGTCTTAGGTTTATTGTTTACGTTTGTAGCAATTACAGTACTGGTATAGTTGAGCTCCTGTGATGACATGGATAATGGTTCAACATTCTCTTTTTGGCGTAATAATGGCCTCGGTCGTAATTCTGTTGTTCGTTCAGTACCAGACGATTGATGCAATTGTAAAGATGCATGTGCAAGATTTTTCTGACTAGACATCACTATCAATTGGTCAATGCCTAAACTTTTATTTAAACTGGTTGTTGACAGGACTGGGAACAATGAGGAATCGTTGAAATATTCATCAGCTTTACAAGTACAAATAGCTTGAGTGGAAGAATATGTAGTATTTTTTATAGTTGTAGAAATGTTTTCATCATTTTCTTCATAATATGCTTTCCATGTTTTGTCTATAATCATTTTCAAATTATCTGGCAGATTAGAAATTTCATTAGTGCAATGATTTAGATGACGGTGTTTTCGATTCTCTAATTGTCTTGAATTTTGTCCTGGTAAACATTTCACCGTATTGCATAATGGATTATTTGACAACCTGTCGTCTTCTGCATTATTAGCGTATAATTCCCGTAGTGGTGAACTAGTTGTTTTGACAAAATTTAAATTATTTTGCATGTCAGCCAAATACTTGAGTACATCGTGCGTTTCGAAAACCATTCTGGCTAATTTCAATGAGATTAGGGAATTTAAAATTAAGATATTAATAATTTTTGGGGTATTATTGATAATTCCAATAGGCTTTCTGTTTTAATGTGATTGAAATTTCTAACCATGGACAACAAGGTCAAACAGATGAATGTGACCAATAAGAATGACGCACTAACTAACTATCGTATGGTTTCTCACGTGTCCACTGGATGATGATGATGATTCAGTTTAGGCTAGTTCACTTCTCATCCACCCCTTTCTTTTAAAAGTTTTTCTTATTTCAGCTGAAATGCATCCTCACCACCAACAACAGAAGCTGTGTGCCTATTGGATATTGACGACAAACTTTAGAATCATCGTCATTATTTTTGTGAAACAGTTTAAACTCAGAGGGGGGGAATATTACTACGATGAATAAAATGAGTCGACGATTAGCAAGTCGTAGTGTCATCCTAGTTAACCATATCATGATATCAATAAATGTGGAAACGATTTTTTTCAGTTGTTTGTTTGTGTGGAGGAAGTAAAGATGCAGGGAATGATTATGTAATTGTTTTGATAAGATCCAGTGTGTGATTAGGGATAAAAAAAATTTAGATAACTTGGAATTTTCTTAAATTTTTAGATTAGATAAGAAATAATTATTTTCCTTCATAAACGACGGTTATCTAATCCGATTTAAATGTATGGTTTCCTTGAAATGGGATGCATTCAAAACATCGATTTATCTCTCTTTTCGGAAAACAATGTGTCATTCGTCCTTATCTTGTCAATATGTTTTATTCGTGCCTGTATATATACATAGTGTATAGTGTCTGAATGAACTATGAAGAATCTATCATCTTATTGCATAATCAGTTATCTTGTATAAATTTTTTCCTAGTTCAGCCCTATGTAAACATACTAATTTCACATAGATATCTACTTCATGAAAAAGTTCGTTTTGCAATCACTGAAAGCAACATTCGCCTGTAGGAAATCATGAAACATTTTCAGCAAATCACTACTAGCTACTACCAATAGTTGTGATCCCATGTGATAACTATAAACAATACTACTACTTTTCTCTATATATAACGAATCTTAAACAGTTAGCTGCTAAACAACAGAAACCCAGTTTATTCAGGTCACTCAGCCATCGTTTAACCTTTATTATACGGATTTTAGTATCGAAGAGTTTACATTTCCAACTGTATACAATTTTTTCAATACTCTCTGACTACCATTCATCTTCAGTAGGTGGTGGTATTAGTTCTATGCTCGATATGCTCTTCGAATTTGTATTTTCATTGGTTTTAAATCATGCACAGATTTGAATTAGACTATCGTTGCAAACGTGGAAACACCGGTTACAGTTTCTTCGTCCTAGTATGCAACTAAACAGCAATGCACCTCCTGACTGATAAGTGATCCTAGATTTTCAATGATAGTCACATTCAGATCTGTTGGTGATATAAAATATTAAAATCTCCAGAAATTCCTTTATCCTAAGAACAGACTTTTAGATTTCTTTAGTGTGTTTTTTGACAATATTCTGTACATGGAGTTGTAATTGACGCGAAGTTTTGTGCTTCAGTAATTTTATCAAACTAATTATTGCAATCCTGTAATCTAAAATACATCGAGGTTACTATTGGCATAGAGAATCTTATGCGCAACTTCATTAGCTAACTAAGAGTTATGTTGAATAATTCAGTTACTGAAGACAATGGCGTAAAAATACCGTTTAAACCTCAATAAAACAGCATTTACTATTGTTGAGCATTAAAATGCACCATAGTGATTAGTTTATCAACACAGAACTTCGTACATAAGTACATCAGTTCAGGTTGCCATACCGCATTAGCACAGAGATGTAAATGTCAGTTCAAATCCAAGAGTGATAGCGATAATAGAAGTATTAGCAGTTATGGAGAAGATTACATAGTGAAGATATGATTCGAAAAGTATAATTCAGTGAGATAAATTTAGAAGCAGAAAGTTAGAATTAGGCAGAAAGTTAGAATTAGGGAGAGAACACAAATAGTGGATGCAACTGTGCTACTGCAAACCATTTTGAGCCATGTCGTTCAAGGTCTCTAACCATTGGCGACATATGTCTGGCGGACCCCAATCAGATAGCCTACATCTATCAACATGACTCAGTTCACTTGTCAGTGATTTCATGGATTTGTGCCAGGTTTTAGTCTGGTCGCCCCTACACACACAACACACATACTTTTATATGCGCACATGTTTTCAGCAAATTTATTTTTAAGGTTTATTTGACATATGGGATTTGAATAAAGCTCACTATTATTACTATTCATGTTATAACTATGATTATTCTGTGAACATCATTTACATTGAAAACATTCGTTCAACGTTTTTTTTTTAAATGAGTGCTATTCATTGAATATGTTAAAAAATTATTCGATAAAATCTAATCGATATAACTGGATTCAATGAATCTCATCGTAAAAATTCAATAAGATTTATTTTTAAGAAATTCAACACAATTTGCATATTGAGAGAAGTTGCAAAATAGCTAACATTGGTGTTTAAGATACGCATTTCATGTTATTCAGAGCTCTACAGTTGAATGTGTCTACTTTCTGCTGTTGATGTTGACAACGATACATTGACCCAGTGTTATTCACTTCAAACGCTAAAGCATTTTCCATTAAGCCATTTAATTTAGGTATCCACCAGCTTGCATAGTGTGTAATGTGTTTGAATCAAACGGAGCAAGGTTCGAATCCTGGAATCAATATCAAATTTGGCATATAGGCGATACAGTGTGCCAAGAAAAGCGAAAAACACTCACATAATTTTACCGCTAGTTACAATCTAATTCTGCTTAGACACGTTTTTGACATAAACATATAGGAAACACACATACCAAGAGAGAATGACTAATTCCAGCATATATTACAAACAATGTGAAGATTGAACTTTTACAATTGAACAAAAAAAGCTGTCATTTTTACTTCAGCTTCACTATCGTATTAATAATGGATCTTGAATGAAGTAGTATGTAGAAAAATAGCTTTCTAATTCGAACCTTGTTCAATCCAATTGTTTTGATTTTGTAGATAACAGATATTGACATATTACTGTAGTGACAATACACTGACCCGAAATAGATCAAGCACACACAATGCTTCACTGATCTACATCAATTTTGGTAAGTTAAAACTGTTCACGGGATCGACATTTAGTTTTTCATCCCTAGATTGCCTGCAATCTAAAAATTATGATATAACTGAGTGTTGTCAGTTGTTTTTTCTTGTTCATTATTGTAAAATGTAAGTTCTTTCACTCACTCTCTACTTATCATACACACTCCTAGTAGCCAATTACTTGTGGATAGATAATCGGTGCTGAATTGTTACTAATGACAGTTGATAACTAAAATTTTTGTCAATAACAAAAAAACGCATTAAAATTTGTATTCTCAATTAGTTCAACAGCTGAGTGAGCATCATTTGAAATCAATACTCATGAGAGGAAAGTCTTATTCAATGTTTGCATGTCATTCCATTTCATGATCGGTTATAACCTGAAGATAATATTTGTTCATTGTATAAAATATATATCCTAATACTGACATCACACTGTTCAACGTCTTTAAATGAGATCTATTGTCAAAGTGTTCTCTCAGTCTATTGATTTTAATTCACATCAGATTGACGGAAAACAAAAAGACTGTGTTGTTTTTTCTTTATTGATTTATTTAAATAATTATACGTTTGTTAAGATAAATTGTTATCAAAATGTCTGATAGTTAGACGACAATTTGATAAAAATTTGCCCCTCCTTATTTTTACAATTTCAACCATTTTCTCACATCTTTACTTATGATTAGTGGTAAAACAAAATGGTGTTAATCGGCTTATCAAAAAAATCCTATGCGTATATTTAATATAATACATGGATCACATTTAAATAAAAAAATTAAAATTGAATTCACCAATGAATTTTTAAGTTTTATTATTATTATTATGATTATGATTGTGTAGACATTTCAATGAACACTTTAAAATCACAGCCCTGTAATTAAAAACATGAATTCAGCGAGTTGAACCAATAAAAAATAGACTTTCATTATTTTTTTGTTCTAAATAAATTGAAATGAAGTCGTGTTTGTGTTCAAGGCGAAATTGTTCAATGATTCTACTCAAGGTGTTTAGAAAAATTAAAATCTCAAGTTTTTCTAAATGCTACTAATTGTACAAATTAACTGAATAGAATGGATTTCGAATTGATGAAATCTTAATTGGCAAAAGTCAGCCAGTCAGTCAGTCAGTACCAACTTAGGGAATTCGTATGCACGCATGTACATCAGGTCAAGTTGTCATATCACATTAGCACAGAGGTGTGATTGTTGTTTCAAATTCCATAGTGATGATTGAGTAAGTAGCAGTATGAGTAGTCATCGAAAAGACTAATGATCGAATTCATCTCATTCAAGATGTTTACCCCAGAGAAATCAGTAAAGGAGAAAAACGATCATGAAGAATCCAGAGGATTAGGATTCGAGAAAACATAAAGCATAAATGCACCAGCGTCATGGCAAACGATGTTGAGTCATGTAATTCAAGCTCTCTAACTATCGATTATTATAATCTCGTGGACCATCTAATTAGTACTTGTGTCGTTCAAAGTCTTTGATCATCGGCTACTATCATCTTGCCGACCCGAATCAATCCACTTGTCAGTGACTTCATGAATTTGTGCCACGTTTTTAGTTGACCGTTTCTAGCTGTCATCTTGCCTACGCCTACATCAGACAACATAGGCTGGCTAGGGTAGTCGGTGTTTGGTCATATGTAACATATGTCCCAACCACCTCAACTAATGAAGTTTCACAATACTCTATCTATTGATTTGCCATCCCTAGCTATTACTTGTTTTCTAACAATTGCATTGCTTACTCAATAGCCTCAAGAGAAATGAGCAGTAACTCGGAAACACCTATAATCGAAAACCGTTAACCTTTAACTCTTACTGGCTATCATCTATTGAGTATGTCTTTTTTTCCTGATTCACGTCTAAACAAGAACAGGATGCTGGTCGGTTATAAAGATAAATAGAAGGAAATATTCTTGTCAAA